TAGACTATAGTGAAACAACATTTTTTGATAGTATTATCGATTTATAACTAGTCGAGTTGTTCAGTCGGATCGAGCTGATTGGTTGAAATTCTTGGTTTTAATAGGCAAAAAACTGATATGTTTAAATGAATCAATTAATCTATTAGTTCTTTTAAGAAAAATTTTATTATTACAGCTTCACGATGATATGCAATGTGAAATTCATATAACTGTTGGAGTCTCTAATAATAATAGTTTTTGTGTTAGTGTATGGTATTCTATTATACACTAATTCTAGGAACAAAGAAAGAAATCTTTCATCTATTAATTCACAAAGACTGATATTGAACAGTATTTATGATTTGTTTTGTTTAGCTTTCTTCAATAAAAATATTATCTCTTTACAAGAACTGATGATTTTCATCTTTACTTATTTGAAATCATTATTTAACAAATCTGAAAGATTTCTTAATTCATATAAGTCTACTACTATCGATAAGAAGACAAGATGAGCTATAATATTTGATTCTTTCTTTTTATCAAGCTTTTTAATATCTACATATTGTCACAGTTGTATGAGGCAACAGTTGGTAGAACTTCCACAGCATAGTGAAATATTTTCAGATATTTATGTCACGAAAATATAGCTTGAAACTACTAGTCATTGAGAATTGCAGACAATGCGTTACAAGCAGCCTTATAAAATTAAGTTCGAAATTTCGAAATAGAAAATGTTTAGTTTATACCAAATTTATCATGTCCATAAGCAACACATTCAGCATTATACAAGATTCTTAACTTTAGCCTTCGTGTTTCTGATCCATGAAAATCGATAAAAATGAGCAGAAAAAAAGACTCAATCTAATAGTGTGAAAATTAATAAAAAACCAGTCGGGCTGGTACCGATTCCAGGTCTAATATAATGAATCTATTCGACTTTAAGAGTATCGTATCCTCATATTATATTAAGAGTGTCAATAAATTTTGATTTTTATTCTCCAAAGAAAATGATCAATGATTGATGAAGAAAACCTAAAAAATCAATATATCAATATATTTTTTGTAATACAATTACATGTCAATGTAAACTATTTACCACAGATTCTTACTTTAGGAAAATGCTGAAAAAACATAGATGAAATTTTTGTTTTGATTTTAAAATTTCGTCAAGAATTAATTGATTTTACGAGATTCAACGTGACTGGTTGAATAATTATGTTCAAAGAATAATTTGAATTAATGCATTAAAATACATAAACATTCCAAAATACATTTTATTTCACTTGCAGCATATGATTTCGTATTGATTTTTATCTATATAATATAAGATGATACAATTTTAACGAATAATATACTAAGAAATTCGATTGTTAGATAAGATGGAACTGTCAATTTTATTAATATTGAATTAGTATAAATCACTCATAGTCAGAGTTTGATGCTAAAGAGAGTTTATTCTAAGTGATTCATACGCAAGTAAGTGTTAATGAATTTCCGCCCATCTGCGACGCATTATCGATTTTATTCGTAATAGGCCATCGATTTCAATTTCGAGTTTCCTTGAAGCTATTTCTTGTTGATCTTGTACAGTAACAATACTTTAGTACCATTGAAACAAATATAGTAATTAGAGAGAAACATTGAATAGTTAACCGCTTCAGGAGAAAAACCTTAAGCATAGGATGGTTAAAGAAGTATGTTCATGATCACAAATTTGAAAGTGTCATAACAAGAGTCTAGTCAAGAGAAGATGTTTCTAGTTTTGTACAGCGCATATTCATTTGAATACGAAACTGCTGAAGAATGCAAGAAGTTTGTCATGAGTATGAACGAGAAATTTAGTCTATCGATACACGATTACATTTTTAAATATTAAAATCAAGAACTTAGCAATTATGCATACGTTTTGTAATGATCGAAGCGTCGATTATCGTTTCGTCAGTCGCAAAGCTTTTCTGATTATAACTTCTCAGGCGTTACTATGAATGAAAGTTGAGTTTTCACGTGACTTGAGCGGATCACAAATTTTTGTTGAAAACTTCAAAGAAGTTTTGATATCTCAAGAACGTATGATCTCTAGAATTATCAATTACATATAAACATAACATAAAAACAAAAATCATTTCGCTTTCACATAGTATTCTCACTTTTTTTTTCTGTAACTACCAAGATCAATCATCTGAGTCGAATCTTGACAATTCCGATTGAGATCCATACAATCGAGTTTCGAGCACATCTGATTTGTTCCAAATCGGAATTCAACAATTCAATTGTTTGTCCTTGAATAAAAATATAAGTGGTGCAACGTTTTGTCATTCATTGATAAAAAGTATAAGAACAGCAAAACATCCAATGATAAAATGAAAATACAACCGGTTTTCTCCAAAACATTCTGGCATATATTTTTTGCAAATTTCTACATTTACTATGTCAACTTTAGTAATATTTTCATAATCTATTTAATTATACTTTGTATGACGTTAGAAGCTCAACTATCGATTCATATTGATTGATTCAATAAATAATTCATCGTTTGTTGATGTTTCATCTTATAAAAAGTAGTTAGACAAGAGTCTGAAGATTAGGAGAAACGGCAGAGCATTGTAAAAATGTCTTAGAAAGTCAATATAAAATTTCAAAAAAGTCTTAAAGTTTTGCTGCTAGTAACGAAAACTTTTCGATTATCAAGTAGGGATGCACATTTCTACACACTTTACTTTTGTGGTTGAGGTTTAAAACAATATTGCGTAACATCAATTACTCTTCCAATTTCAGCAAGACATAAAAGTCGAATTTAACTTTAAACCAAATCGGATTTTTCAAAATCTTAAATAGTTTCTATATAAAACTTTCCGTATGTTTATTTATACTCATGAAAAAAAAACCATATGAATACAAATGAAGTTCTTTGATGATTTTGTTCTTTCAAAATATTATCTGAGTTAAATAAATCAAAGAAAAAAACAAGAATATATATAGAAAAGCTATTTATCAGTCATGCCCTATAACAAAGAAGATCTTTATCATTCGATTGTCGTTCGAGGTATTCTTTCGTGATGAGAACATTGATACAATCCTTAAAAAAAAAACAAATATTGGATAAAACTAACAAAAAACATTGTTACCTTAATGGTAGAAACGTTAGAATTGAAATATGAATTTAATTGTTGAATAACCGTATCTATTAAAAGATTTTCATTCATTGTTTTATTCAATTTCATTATTCGTACAATAGTTGCCTATAAGAATAAAATCAAAAATAAATTAACAATATAAGATATATTTGACGAACTCGAATACTCATTATTCGATCTTGATCAATTGTATTATGAAAATTTTTCACATCTCCTTCTTCAACAGATTTCATTGTTGTGTTTAAATTTATACGATATTTATCACTAGAAAATTTGAACATGAAAATATCACTTATAAAAACAACATATACGATTCTCTTCACCTTCTGAAATCATTTGATAATTTAATAATACAATTTATATCAAGATTGTCTCGATCAAGAAATTGTGTACATGTTAAAATCTTTGATTCAATTAATGTATTCAAAACTAATAATAATAATTCTATTTTAATCTGTGTTTCATCTTGAATTTTTTCTATTGTCCATTCTAATGCATTATTAAATAAGAGAAGTATTACCATTTGATACATAGATACCTATATATCGAATATATTAAATTAAACAACAAAAAAAAGAAAATGATCATGAGTATTTTTTACTTGTAATGTATACACTCGATCTGTAAAGAATGTTTGTAATTCACCTTTAGAATGCTGATAAATCCATGTAAGCTTTCTTCCATTGTGTAAATATTTATAAAATTTATTGAAATTATTGACAATATGTTCAAGTTTGTTAGGAAGAATAATATTTGATGGTGTTGAAAATAACCATACATTAGTCTTAAGTATCATTATACTAAAATTAACTAAAATAAAGACAATAATTAATAAATAAAATTATTTTGTAATTGAACTTTTGCTTGTAAATTGTTCAGTTTCACAATATTGATGATATTGATTAAGAATATTTTTACTAGTTTCAATATCTTGACACATTTGCTTCATTTTATATGCAAATCCAAAACCACATGTAATCTAAACAAAGAAAATATATGTTATAATAATAAACAATTTCGAGTAGATAATCAAAATTTACCTCAATGTTAGAAATCATCATTTGTTCATAATCATTTGATATACTCATTTGATTAATAAGTCTTTTAGCAAATAGTTTAGAATAATATTTTTGAAAAACATCTTTTTCTTGCATATAATACAATAAAATCTATGTAAAATAATTATGTATACAGAAAATAAATGATAAACATTTACTTTTATTTGATTAATGATTATTTCAAGATCCGTCTCTTCTTTTCTTTTAAATTAATGAAAAAGATATTTTTAATTATGTTAATAAAAAGTTTTCTTTACCTTTTTCGAAGAAATTTATCACAATAACGAGCTAAATATTCAGCCATGTTAGTCGTATTTCCAATGGCTTGAATAACTGCATTATTATTGATAAACTTTCGACATGCCTAATTATTCTAATAAAAGAAAATTGTTTCAATAAACAAAAGAACTTACTCTATCGAGAACATTGAAAAACTCGTGATCATTATCGAACGCTTTTTGAATAAATGTAAAGTATTTTTGATGAAAATCATATATTGTTTGAATATAAATACTCAGATCCTAATCGATTTTATGAGCTAAAATCAGGATAGTGTAAGCAAAAAGAAAACTTACATTAATGGATATAGAATTAATACATTCAATTGTTTCGATACCGATTTTATAAATATAATTTTCCATCATATTTTTCAACTCGCTTGTGCCATTTTCAATTCGATTAACTGTTCGATATAGAAGATTGAGTTCTTCAAAAAAAATCTTTAATGTATTATCCTTTTTTTTTTTTGAAAAATAAAAAAATCAATTGTACCTTGAATTTTTTCATCATGTATCAATTTTTTTGCTTCAGCATGAATAACTGTCAATTGATCATGAATAAGAACTTCATCAAGTTTTTTCTCTAGATTTTTAATGGAAGAAGGATGTAAGTAAGCTGTTATTCGACGTATTTCTTCATTGAAGTATTCAGGAATCTAGCCAAAAAAAAAATTTATTTCACGATTTTGAGTTATTTTTGTTAAAGAAAGAAATGAAAATAAACCTTTAAAAGATAATCAATAACTGAGTGATGTTGAAGATATGTTATTGTTTGTAATCGATAAAATTCTTGTGTATCTTGAAAAAATTGATTTTCAAAATATTCTTGATAAGAATCTAATATCTGACTATTATTGTCTGATGTAGACTTATGTTGATTGATATGAGAAATGACTAAGATAAAAGAAAAATGAAGGACAATTAGTACTTATCTTGTTGTTATATTTCTTACCATATGTTTGAATAACATTACTAATAATTTCAGTATCGATTTTCTGATGATTACGTTCGGCTTTAATTAGATTCAGACAATATCGTGTGATTTTAGTATAGAACAGTTGAGAAAGAATTTGGTGCCAGATTTTCATGGCCATCTTAAATGATGTAATAGAAGTATTGCTATATTCATTTTACAAATATTTTTTACCGAGTAAATCTCAGAAATATCTGGATTGCCAAAATCCAATTCACGTCGTATATAATGTCGATTAAAATACGAAAAAATACCATGTAAAATTTTACATGAAACGCAATATTTTTTCCATTGATTCATATAAAATTCAAGCAGATCTCGATCTAGTAAATTAGTGCTAGACTGAAAAATCTTGTTTTTTTTTTATAAGTCAAAATAAATTTAAAAAAAATAAAACTTACTTGACAAAGGTCTTCGAGATAATTTCTTAAATAATTTTTCAATTTTTCATATAACTCAGCATTATGACTCAAGTTATTTGTGCAATAATCAAAAATATAACTAGATAAAAATGTTACAATCATAGACAGTATAATAATTAATATCAACATACGTATAGAGTAACATCCATTTAGAATATCGAATAGTTTGAAATTGAAATAGATATTCAATACCATTGAATAATTTTTCCCAAACTTCATCAACTGTAGTACATTGATCTAGTCTTGGCATTTTTGTCAAAATAAAAAGAAAAAAATAGCGCGACTGGTGTAAAGATGAAAAAGAATGAAAAAATACCGTCGTAAATGTTTCACCATGAAGCTGAAAAGAACGAGAAAAAAAAAGAAAAACAAACCTTGTCAGTATGATTCAGACATGGTTTTTGTTATTAAAAATATATTTGCATGCGCGAACGTTATTGCAAGATGCAGTTGAATAGATGATCATTTAATGTTTTTAACAACAAATTAATTACTTAAGAGAATGTATCACAATGATTACATATTTCAAATCCAAATAAAAATTAATATCAAATAAAAAAAAACGCGAAGAACTTTTATTGAAATACTTTTTACAAAACCTTTTAGATCATAATCTTGTTAACTTTTGTTTTTTTTCTATGTCCATGTAATGCCGTAATGAAATTTTTTGAATTTCATTGCCTAGTATCTAGGAAATTTAATTATCTTTAAGTCTAGTCGATGACATGTCAACAAGCTCTACAGAGGAGTTCTATTCATAATAAAAGATCTGTTAGAATACTTATGCATATAACGATCATTATTCTCTCATGGATAAATTTTGACGAATATCTTTCTTCTTTCGTAGATCAAGAGATAAAGACTATCTTTCCCCACCCTTTTCGAGATGCTCTTATTGCTACTATGAAATGAGTTCGCATGAGTAATTTATTTATTACTGTCTTTTATTTGTACATATTATTTAAAAGTGACTTTTACGAGAAAAATCATGATGTTTCTAATTAATTTTCTTTCGTTCACTGAAAGATAGTCTATAAAGATTAAAAGAGATAGTGACTTTCTAACTATAGAAATCAATTATTTTGACATTGCTTTGCATTTTTTTCTCCAACGCAACATGCATCACAGCCAAAGAAAGAAGCACATCAATGATTAGTGATTTACGTAAATGCATTTTCCAGAATCGTTTTCCCACAAAAAAACATCATTTTTTCAGTTTCTCCAGTTTTTCGATGACAAACTATGTATGAAAATAAAAAAGAAAAGTATATTTTATTTCGACTAAGAAATAATCTATAGGTTAAGAAAAGAGAAACAGCTTTCTGTTAATAGACAAACATGATTTCATTTTGCTGAACCCTTGTCTCCTACAGAAATAATAAATTCTCTAACTTTTATTATTCCGAATCCTTTGACCTGTACAAGTCATCATTTGTCTGATCCGTTTCGATTACGCTGTTGATAAAATACCTGTAGAAGCGATATGGTAAAGCATATTTCTGGTAGGTATAATGATATTTTCATTATTTCTAATTATTTTGACTGTGGACTTAATTATTTTCGTACTTGAATCGTATGATACGTTTTCTCAGTTAATTTTGTTCCCGTTCGATAGACTATTATTTTTTGTATCAAATATATTACATGGACATTCTTTTTGTTATATATCTGCCGCTGAAGCCAAAGTTTTCAACTTGCTGACGTAGAATGGTCGAGAAAGAAAACTTCACTGATCCCAATCTTGCGAAGGACTGTTTATTCTTCATTAGAACTGTTCAAACACTCACATGCTTTTTCGAAAGATAAATGGCTTGTTATGATCGAAGAAAGTAAGAGAGCACTATATTTTATTATACAAAACAGATTTTTCACCGAGCCTAAAAAGGATCTTCTCTGGAATACGATGAAAAATCTTTTTTTTTGAGTCCGTATAAAATCTCTTGTGTACTACTGTAATAAAAGACTTCAGATGAATGATTTCGTACCGATCATGCATCTACACTATTAACCTATATAATTCTACACCCAAATGAAAATTTTTACCTTCGTACGCTATTTCGAAGCAACTTAATAAGACTAACACTTCAGTAAGCTGTTGAAAGCCAGTTAAACCTACTTAGATAATAATTTTACCAGCGCTATAAAACGTTTATAATCAATATCACTTAAAGTGCTGTCATTTTTGTTATGTCTAAGAATTTTACAGAACTCAAACTGAAAATCACTAAACAGTGTTACGCTTTTTCTTCTATTCAAGCGCTTTGCAGAAGTTACAGTAAAAAGCACTGACAAGTATGGTGATTTTTGTCATATTTAAGCTTTAAAGGACATTGTAATCATATATCGTGTGTTATAGATAAGGATATTTATCATCACAGTAAATTTTGAAATAACTCCTCATCGTAGACTTCTTTCGATATATGCTGATTGATGCTAGAGAATATCATTTGTTTTAGCTTAATTTTACTCTTATATTTATTAGTGATAGAAAATTCGTTGGACTCTTCAATTTCTACATGGATTACAGAGTGTTTCATTTGCTACAGCGTCACCATTGGCCTGTTTTTGTTTCATTGTTTGCTCACATATCTTGCTAACGGATGACGAGAGAATAAAATAAAAAAAAATATTCGTCATTCATTTGATGCTAGGATAGTGTACCAGTTACTTGAGTAAGAAATGAAAAAAGATGAGCATGGACTTGACAGTTATTTTACTATTAACTTCTTTCCACTTATATACAGAAGAAAACTTATATTCACTACTTAAAAAAGATTGATGAAAAAGACTCTCCTTATTGAGCTATCCATCTACCTTCTGAGAAAGTAGTGAATATTAATAGTTGCCGTTGTTACGCAGACAAAGCGTTTTGAGTCGTATTCTCCACATTTTTCTTGCCATCCTAGTTTCTAGCTAGATTTGTTCGCGATACGATTCTTTTTTTTCTTATTAATTCTCTTAGCGATGCTTTGTATCACTTTTCTTAATTTAGTTCTTCATTTTTGTCATTTCTGTGAACTAGCTCTTCTGTTTGTCTTTTTTAAAGTAACATTTATTGTTTTTTTTGCCATGTATGCTGATTTATAATATTCTGGATAAAACTTTCGTTCCAAGTAGGCTAAGTTGTTTTTTATTGTCACTCGTCACTATTAGTTTCCTTGATTTGATTCTCAATCCGTCTATTGCTTACATAAGTTTGTATTCGACGTTCGAAATATTATGAGCATAGCTATCGAGCAATTAACTAAGAAAAAAATGATGAAAATGATCTTGTTTATTTCCGAGTGCAAAATATCATGAAAAAATCTCGAAAAAAACTCATTAACACAGAAAGGTGTAAATTAGAGAAAAAAATTTCTCGGTTGCATATGTTAAACAGAAAACGGAAGTATAATATCCTAGTATGTGTGTATACTAATAAACAGAGTGCATAGTGATAAAGAAATACAATAATATTATATTTATGAATATCTAATGAACCTATCAACGTAAAACGTTATTCCGTCACACTTTGTTTGTTTCATTACGTACAAACGACTCAATGTCTAGAATCAAATGTTTTTTCAGTTTTCAACGAAAAGTCGTGCTTCTCAAAATGAGACATTGCAAAGTGTTGTGCACAACTTCTCATTCACTATAGACAGAGCGCAACAGAATAACTCCTTCTGTGGACAGGCTCTAATATAAAATATACATGAAACTGTTTATAAAAAAATCAATCTTTGGACAATGTGTATTTCACTATTTTTCTTCGTCCTTCGCAATTTCTTTTTCCGTTTGACTGTGGAGTTGTTCGAACTCTCTAGATTATCATACGACATATTGAATGAAGAGGGTGTGTGTGTGGGTGTAGATGTCTGTATTCTTTTTTTTTCACTCTTACACTCACACCTACATCCTCTTCACTCAATAGGTCTTATGATGGTCTAAGGAGTTCGAACAACTCCACAATCAATCGGAAAAAGAAATTGCAAAGGACGAAGAAAAATAGTGAAATACACATTGTCCAAAAACTGATTTTTTTTATAAACATTTTCATGTATATTTTATATTAGATATTCATAAATATAACATTGTTGTGTTTCTTTATCAATATGCACTCTGTTTATTAGTATACACACATACTAGGATATCTTACTTCCGTTTTCTGTTTAACATATGCAACCGAGAATTTTTTTCTCTAGTTTACACCTTTTCTGTGTTAATGAGTTTTTTTTAGATCGATTCAGCGTCGTCCATTGAACTAGACTGATCTAATTACAGTCATTGTACTTTTGTATTGTTTGATGTGTCGTTATGTTTTTTTTATGGCGTTGTTTGTCTCTTTCATGACAATTGTGTCCACCTTTCCTGCTCATTTCAAATGAGGAAAATGATTTCTCTTGTGCACATGTGAAACAACTTCTATTTGTTTAAGGAGAAAGCTATCCTGTATTACGTTGGAGTTTAGCTTTACACAATATTTCTAAAGTTTTTTATATTTATTTTCGTAAATAGTCTTCTTGTTTAATCGACAAAATTATTCAAATAAATTTACTTACCAGTTTAGTATGCTAGATAAAAAAAAAATTGATAGTAATTAGGAAGAAAATTTTGAAATTAGAAATCTTTCGATAGGCATGGCAGTTATGTAAAATTTTCTGGATAAATTGTCGATTATATAATTACAGGTTGTAGTTTGATAATTTTCGATAAGCGTTATCTTTTTAATAATTAGTGTTCTGATAAAAATTTTTCATTCCAACTGAAATATCTATACTTATTCATGAGTTATCAGAATAAGTTTATTATAAAAGAATTACAAAAACTAGCTTCGTTTTAGTTGCTATAATATTTGACATGACTTGTAAAACCATAATTGAAAAATTATCTTTTAGAAAGAAAATACCATACATAATTATTCTTCAAGATCTTTTTTTTTTGAGTTCGAATGTTTTCAATAGTTTTTCTCTACTTCTTAATTTGGTTCAATAAACTGACTTGACAATGTAATATTCAAAACTAATGAAATTTAAAATATGAGGTAGTTTAAGTGACACGTTCATGTATACAAATTTGCAAATCAAAATTCAAAAATAAGCTATTTTTTGACAGCTACTCATCCAGAAACAATTTCGGTAAAAAGAACAGTTGTCGAATAAATATGAAAAAAAGTCGAAATCTATCAGGAATTATGCTCTGATTACGATTTTCTACCTATAGGAACGCTATACTAACCAATGTAGCAGATCATTTAAAAATGTTATCCGA